TATACACAACAGCCCCTCAAGGCTCCATGTTCTCAAGGCTATCAGTGGAGTGAGGGTGGCTGGTGTTTGCTCAGCTTTGAGGCCCGTTTCCCGTCCCAGTAGTCGCGTAAGCACAGAGAAAAATGCACATTTCCCATATTAGAGATGTGTGGATTTGAGAGGAGTTTGGAAAACGTTTGAGAAAATTAAGAAAATTAAGAACAACATAGGATCTACTGCAACTGCCAATTCTTTTCTGCGCTAGCTGCGCTGGATGGACTCTTCTGCCATGGCACCAGTCTTATCAGCGGGAGAGGGGGTTGGGGACAAGTGCAGTGAGGGGTAGGAAGAAAGGGGACATGGGTTGTGTTTGCCTAAAGTGACAGTGTGGGCCAAGGGCTTATCAAGGCCTTTGTAGATTATTGATCAGAGCAGATACGTGAGGCACAGGGGCCTATGTGTGAGTGTGTGTTCGAGGTTCGTGAAGCTCTGGCTTGACTCACTGAAATGTCACAGGCCTGCTCAACTTCAGTTTCAACTCTTTTTAAAATGTATGTTTCGCCGAAGGGTGAATATTCTTAAAACGCACCCATGGCATCGTCAATGCCAGATGTTTGTAGCATTCAGTACATTACAAAATCTATAAATTCTCTCTCTCACACACCCCCACACACACAAACAAATACAATGACCGAAAAGCATGGGAAGTGTTGGTATTCCCAGGCTGAGTTGGGGTTAGGAATTAACCTGGCTGGCAGCGAGGGCTTCTGTTGTGTCCCTGCATTTCATCCTTCAAGGCTGCAGCTCACTAGCGCACACACTCACTTACACACACAACCTTATCTTCCAGGGTCTCCTCTTGTTTGGCCAACGCTGTGCAAATAGAAGGTGCAATACATCTCCTGACAGTTCCCAAAAGCAAGGGGGAGAAACACGCTGGCCAAACAAACAGCCAACCCTGAGTCACCGAGAGACAAGCGATTTCTCAGGCTTTATCGAAACACATGCAAAGACACACACACACACACATCGACTTCCCCACAGTGTGTGTGTAACAGTAGCCTTTATTTGAGGGCTTGGGCCTCTGGCTACCTTTTTAAACGTTTGTCTAAGCAGTCTTAAGACAGGGGCCACTGCTAGAGTGAATAGCTCCCAGCAAGCCGTCCACAGGCTCCTATTGTCCTCCGTCATATTTTATTATCTCATCAAAAAGCAGGAAATCCGATTCCCTCTCTCTGAAAAAGAGCTTATCCTTCTGTCTCAAAGCAACCTGTCATGAGAGAGGGAGATGGAGAGAGGTGGAGAAAATGGGGGAGAGAGTTGTGGGGGAGAAGGGGGGAGTCAGTGAATGAGAGTGATTAACTGCCTCATCGCTGCCTCTTGTCAGAGAAGTCCCTCTTTCTTTCTTCCTTTCTTTCTTCCTTTCTTTTTGATTGGAATTTACCCAACACGCAGCACAATGCAAAGGTTAGGGAAACGTGTGTGTATTAGAGGAGAGTTTTTTTTCCCTTTTTCCCTCTCTGTCTTCCTCCTTTCATATTGTGTTACACAGGGGTAGAGCAGCGATAATATCCCTTTTCATCAAAGCTTTTGTTATTGTTTTTTTGGACACCCCGCCACACACACACACACACTTCCATCCTCTCTGTCTTTCTCGCACCTTCGAACAGAGAACAAAACCACTTATTTTTCTGAATGCCACATGATTTTATCAACAGAGTGCGCGCGCGCCTGTGTATGACACATGAAGACATCAACCTCAGTCATGCTTGTCCTCTTTCATTCAGACTTATCCACGCTACATTTGAAAATTCTGTTAGTTATTCTAACGTTCATATGACCAGGTAAACGGTGTTTTCTGCTCCGTCGACACCAATCAAATGGCTATGTCATGATTGTGAAGTCGTCCGGCAAAAATAAACATAAATGCAAATTAATGACAGCTCCACCGTGAGATTGTCTATATTGACATTTAAAGTGAGTGATGACAGAAAGTTGTATTCTTAAATTTACTGACCATGACTGAGCAGGCTTATGTCATAATTTTCCAAAAGCTGTTTTTAGGTGGTAGGAAAAACACCAGCGTAGTGTGGACCAACAGCCAGAGATAAAAATGTGCATTTTCAGATTTAGTAAGCATAACATATAACATGCTCTCAGTCACCTTGTTTGCCTTTTCCAGGCGTCATTCCACACACACAACTCTCCATCCTTCGCTCTATACTCTATTTTTCCTGCTTCTCTCCCTCCCTCCCCTCTCGCCTCCCCTCTCTCCTCCCCTCTTTGTACATCTGTCCTTTAATTTTGGGCTCTGCTGAGAAGTTGTTAAAAAGCCCTATGAAATATGTATGAAGGATTGTGAGCCACGCGATTGGCCCCATTTACCGGACAGCCGAGCGAATGAGCGGCCACACTGGATAATCCCCCACAATGCCTCTGGAACAAAGGCCCAACAGCTGACCCTAGAGAGAGTGAGAGATGAAGAGGGGGGGCAGTGAGGGGGGACAGAGTAGGACAAGGGAGGGGTTGCAAACAGTTAAGGCTCACTGCTGGTCAGGAGGCAGCTTGCTCACATACACAACTCGCACATACTCACAAAACAAAGGCTTGTGGGACAGGAATAACTCCCTCTGTTCTGTCGCTCCGCTCTCTCTCTCCTTAGACTCTTCTCAGCCCCTCCTTCTCTTGCCATCTCTCCCTCCCTCCCTCCCATTCTCACTCTCTCGCTCTCAGTCAAGAGGATCTGAAATACCAATACCCTTTTCTCCTTGACATTGCTTTCTCCTTGCAGTCAGCGTTTTGCTGTCCTTTTATAGTCAAAACGTCAGGAGAAATTCCATGCAGGAATATTCTTAGTAATGCGGCACTCCCTGCGTCTAACGGCTAGGGCGCTGCGCTGCACCGGCCCGTCAGCGAGGTCTTTTGGGAAAAGGGTGCGCATGCCCACATAGACACTTACAACGCATACACGCAAAGTTGCCCTCACACTGGGGTCATTGTGCCAGTATTTCAGAGACGACAGCAGTCCAAACAATGAATTATATCCACTTCTATCGCACCAGAGGGGAATTCAATATTTGGGGAATTGGGTTAGCTTGTGTGTTTCTCTCTCTCTCTCTCTCTCTCTCTCTCTCTCTCTGCCAAATACACACACACAGAGCGTACAAGCTCCTTATTCACGACTCACCTTTTCACTCGAGCAGTGGACAGAGATATGCACACACACCAGACACACGGGCATCTTAGCCTCCATTCATCACCCCGAGGGGGGCGGGTGGCTGTCCTGTGTGTATAAGTGTGTATGTGTGTGCATGTGAAGAGGCATGCCTGTGTGTTTGACGGTCTGTGTGTACATGACGGTCTGTGTGTGTGTGTGTGTGTTCCAGTGGCCACTAACCTTGCTGTGTCCTGACACTCCTGATGAGTATCTGCAGGACACTGGAGGAGAGGAGCGGAGCGGAGTGCGCACTGTCAGGCATTTGGGCAAGCTGCTGTATGTGTGTGTGTGTGTGTGTGTGTGTGTGTGACAGTGCGTGTTTGTGTGTGTGTGTGTGCGAGCATCAAGGGAGGCGAGCAGGGAGACAGTCAGCATTATCCAAGCAGGTGACCCCTGAAGGCTGCGTCGCCCTGGAGCTTTGAGTCGAGGAAAGAGACTCAGCCAAATACACCAGGGTAGCTAGTGTATGTGTGTGTATGCGTGTGTGGCAAGCATTATGTAGAGCTCTGTAACAGTACAGGATGTGTCATCTCCTTGGCACAAGGAGGTGTGCGTACTGGTGTGTGCGCTCACGCCTGCATGAGTGTGTGTGTGTGTGTGACAGAGTGTTGGCTTGGGGGAAGGTGTCACAGATCTTTGCCAGACTAATCATCTCCATGGTGTCGGTGAGCGCTGCTGTCAGGGACACTAAAGAGGCGGCGTGTCTCCCCGTTCCCAAAGCATTTAGTACTTCCTCTTTCGCCAGCACCTCTCTGCTGCTCTTCACTCAGCTCCGCTTTCTTGTTTGGTCACAGATTTACAGTGGGACTCATAAAGATGTCATGCTCACGGTGTTGTGGGGAGGGAAGTGGGAGGTGTGAGAAACCTGAGAATTCACAAGAAGTGACTTTTCTCAGGCTGACACCTCAATTGGCTTTTAAGGAAGTAGATACTCAAGAGACATGAGATTAATGGTTTTACATCCACTGCGAAAATAAAAAACATATTCTACAAGGGAGGAGATGGCAGTGTTGGGCCTACTTCAAGGAAACGCCACTGCAAAATGAAAGAGCTGTGAGGGTGAAGCCGTTTGACTGGTTCCTCAGTACAAAAGACAAGAAACTGCATTAGAAAATGTTCATAAAAAGGAGAAAAGTTAATTACGACTGCCAAGCAGCATTTCGGAAGCTAGGCTCTAAGTTCTGAGTAAAGTCTAGGTGCTTTTTGGAACTATATGTTTTGGTCTATGTGAGACCACAAAGCTTATGCCACAGCCCTGAGTTGTTCCTCTGATAGCTGAGGCTTGTGGTTACTGTAGTGTTTAGCAATATTCATCAGATCAAACTGAAAAGGAAAAATGATTTTTCAGAAATTGGAGATAAAACAATCTAATGGTGGCCATAATATAAACCTATAGTATCTTAGTTACCAGTAACATTTATGTGTTTCTATGCTGTGATATATTAAGGAATGTTGAAATGGTATAGACAGTGGGGGGGGGAATCAGGAACCATCATAGCTTTGTGTTAACTTCTATTTCTAGTGTGATTTTCTAAACCAGATGAAGGGTTTTTGTATTTCTTATTTTTCCATGTTTGATGAATCATTTTAACTGAGAAAATCATTAGAGCCATTCTAAGAAAAACATTCACGAATGAGAAACAGCTGCTGCATGATAGGGCCTGCCTGCTCTCATCTGCTCTTACGAATCCGTGCCTGTGTTTCAAATGTTGACTCAAGGACTGAACAGCACTCTTAAATCTTTTGTCGTCAATATACCTCTACTTGTTAGTAACCATTTCTTTCCCTTTCTGTGTCTGTAAAGGTCCCTGATCGCTTCCTGGAGGTGGCTGAGATCACACTGAGGGAGTTCTTCAATGCCATCGTGGCCGGCAAAGACGTGGACCCATCCTGGAAGAAGGCCATCTACAAGGTCATCTGCAAACTGGACAGCGAGGTCCCCGAGGTCTTCAAGTCCCCCAACTGTCTTCAAGAGCTTCTACACGAGTAAATTTCTCCTCCTCTTCCTCCTCCTCCTCCTCCTCCTCAATCGACGCTTTGCGCTTTTTTATTTTCTCTGATTTCATAGAATTTCAAAATGATATTCTCTTTTGTTTGTTTTTTTCCTTTTCCCCAACTTTACTTTTGGATTTCCTCTTTTTTATTTTTAAATTTTTGAATGTATGAAAGTTATGAAGTAGCATTCCCAATCTGAAGCCTCTGTGGCAGTTCCTAAATGACCTAGCTATTGTGTTGTTGTTCTTATATGATAATTATCATGATGGTTATTATTTGTTTTGTTTTTCTATGATTCTGAACTGAAGAGACTCTAATCTTATTGGGTGTTTTTTGGACCGTGTGAACCCGCATCCGTTTGGCCTGTTTTATGATCAACTAACTAAGTCCTCAGTGGGTGGATGGAGTTTCCCCTTTACACTACTAAGAACATAGGCAGGGTTCCCTAAAGACTTTACTCATGGCACCCAGGGGTGTCCAGATGAACTGTCCCCATGAAGTGCAAAGTGGGTGCCCAATAGACTGTGCTACTGAAGATGTCCCCAACAGGACAGTCTCTTTCACACACGCACACACACATGCACACAAAAACAAGGCCTAGTGAGGTTATTGACTGGACTAAGACTGGACTCGTGGTACTGGTCTGTACTACTCTGTGGGACTTGGACTGGTTTCAAATAGCTACTGAGCTCTACCATGTTTTGAAGTGTGTTTTCCCTGCAAGTAGGGCATTGTGTTCATTGGCTGTACATTATTATTTTGATTATTATTATTATTGTTGTTGTTTATGATTATTATTTGTCATCACTGCTTGCTGAAGATTGGCACTTCAAGATTTGTTTGTCCCTTGATGCCGTTGCAGAAAAATAAATTATTGCTATTAATATTATTCCAAAAGAGTTTAGAAATATTTTACCCCCATTTCCCATCCTTCTCCTTACTCTTGTTTTTGTTTGTCCATCTCTGAAGTGGACTGGTTTTGTTTGTTTGTTTTTTTTGGTGGTCGGGGTCTGGGGCAACTTTCCTGGAAAGTGTTTCGAATTTGGGGTTTTAATGGAGGGCCGTCAGAGTGGTCCTCTCTGTACGTCCGTAGTGACTAGCCTATCCTGCACAGGACCAGCTGAAAAGGAGTTAGGCTGCAGAAACACATGAAGTAAACGGCGCAGAAGTAAAGAAATATGCACAAAGAAAGTGTGGCCTTTTGGTGCGTGACTTGCTGTTTTTAAAACGGCTGAATTTCCATAGCCACTCCAGCTTTGATAACTAAACTGCTCCCACTAAACGAGCCATTTTGCTCAGCTATCCAAATAAATCTTATTTGTCTAATTATCTGTTCAGGATTAGTGAACATACACAGTAGTAAATGCATAGTTATTTGTCTTTTTATAGCACTGTTCACTGAATAGCTCATGTGTGAGATGAAGTCAGCCTGTTTATATGGCAGGTTTGTATTGTGATTAGCCTATACAAGGTGTAAATTACATTATGAAGTTATTTCAATAGCAGTTGATACTTGAATATATCAGAATACTGTGGCAATCTAAAGTACAGTGTCGCTGAAACATATAGATAATTGAATACATACGAGTAGAAGCATCACGGAGAGGAAGATAATTCAAGGAGGGCAAAAAGAGAGGTGAATATAAGCTGAAACACGGGCGTTCATTAATTCTGCTTCAAGTGGAACTTTCCCCCGCAAACACACACATACAAGCATACACACACACACACATACTGCTCCTTCCCTCCATGTTCACCTGCCTTTGAGTGATCTAGCTCCTCTCTCACTGCAACAATACAAGGTCAAAGGTGAGCACTCACCCCAGGGGTAGATGGAGAAGCTCTCAGCACTACAAAGAGCGGGGACAAAGGCACAGAGCGAGGAGCAACACGCACCTGAAACCCTCTACTCTGTCCCTCCGTCCCAAACTGGCAGCTTTTAAGACCCAAAGTGAGATTCTGTTGAAGCCACTGTGCCCAGTTTGTTAAGCACCATTCCTTTCACTTTTACCTGAGATTCTAATCCCAGATTTTCCAATTGAGTTATACGTGTATATCTAGTGTTTTATCAATTTTATCCGCTCTCTCAGGCTTTTAACAATTTTAAGAAGCAGTTAGTGTTAGCTGCCCTTTTGCTGAGGTAAGTTTGAAGCAATGAGAGGACTTGAATGCTTTCTGGAGTGCGTGCGAGCTAGCTGTTGATCTCACCTTGGCGACATTAGCTTATAGTGTGTCTGTGTGTGTGTCACAAAAGATCAAAAAGGAGCAGGTTGCTTAACCTGCTGACTTGTCTAAGCGAGACAAAGCGCCTGACAAAAGGAGGCAGAGAAAGACGGAGAGCTACTCCCTTCATTATGTTCCCCCCTTTTCCTCCTCCCCGAACAGTGTTCTTCTTAAGATCCGGAGCCCTGAGAGAGCAAGTCGGACACATTTCTCACTAAAGGATGGGCTAGGCCCTGCATGTCTCAAAGTCTCAAAACACCAGCCAAGGGCTCTAAAGCACCACAAACAAAAGAGAGAGCAAAGGACACTTTTATCTGATGCACAGATTATTATCGCTCTCCACCCTCCCCTTTCCTGCAACCCCGCCCTGAAGTTAAAGAGTTCCTGCGCCTAAAAAGATTAATTCAGGATAATGAAGACTTATGTGCAAAAAAATGGATTAGCAAGACCTTAATACCGCGTTGAAAATATTTTTGTCAAGTTTTCCTTTTCTGGGTCGTTTGATTTTAAGGATAACATTATTGAAATACATATATAGCCTTTTTTAAGAATTGTAAAAGATAAATCTATGGGAAAAATATATACAGTAGTGGAAGTTCTTTGGAAGGCACTGTTAGAAATTGTTTCATAAAAGAAAGCTTGAGGGTATTTTTAGTGACGGCTTTGTTTAAATCTGTATCTGAATAAGTGAGTTGTTGGTAGTTTAGGAGCAATAGTTGTAGGTTTTTTGCAGGTTTTGTGACCACTTTTCCTTTTGGTTTCTTTACCTTTTTGTATTGTGCTGAATGGCTGTCTTCTTGAGATCAGAAAAATAAACTTGGAATATGTTTTCAGAGTATGAAATATTGCTGTTGCTACTGTAAATACTGTCAGGATGAAACAAAGAATAGCTGTACAGTTTTTCTATTATCACTCAGATGCTAGAGAGGGATGAGAGTGGTTAAAAAAAGAAGGGTGGAAACAAAAAAGAGGGATGACCCACTCTCTCCAACTGGACTCGTAACCACTCACGGAGGAGAGGTTTTGGTTGTTTTTTTTCCCCTGCCATGCCTTTAACGGGGGTCTGTTACCCGTCGGCAGTGCCCTTGAAGTTGCACCAGCATCCGTTTCTTTAATTTTTGCTGACAGAACGATGCGTTAGGCTTGCGGTCGGGTAATGATGATGTCACAGAGGGCCCCGTTGGCAGTCTGTGAACCCGGTCTCGTCCAAAAACAAGGGCAGACTGCCGCCGACGTAGCTCTAGATTTGACCCGGGAGAGAGACAGGAATTCATTGTCATCCGAAGAGTAGTGTCATGGAGGGGGCACATGTTGTACAGTAATAGTTTAAAAAGAGACTGCAGACAGAAAAAAAAGTGATTTATACCCTTTTTTACCGGGTTCAAACAGTTGGAAAAAGTTTGGACTTTCTGTGGAATTTTCTGTAGGCTTTGCATTTTGTGTGTGTGTGTGTGTGTGTGTGTGTGTGTGTGTGCGTGCTTGTGCGTGTAGATGTATATGAGTGTGTGTCTGTGTGAGAGAAAAGACCGATTATGAGAACCTGTGAACCAGTGAGTGACACAATTCTCAACACTGTGGCCCCTCCCCCACCCCTGGGAGTACCATCCTGACATGTAAATGATTCTCATTAAGCGTTGGCAAAGTGTGTGTGTGTGTGTGTGTGTTTGTGTGTGTGCGTGTTGCGATAATTTCCTCTGATCTGTTTTCTGACCTGTTTGAAAGGGGTTTTTGTTTCATGATGCTTTCAGTAGTAATTCTTTTTTTATTATTATTACATTGCTTCTCTTTTTTTGTAAATATCAATGATGTGGACTTACAGTGATAAAAACTGCCTTTGTGTAACTTAGCAATATGTTATGTAAATAGTGTTTTGTTGATGCTTTTTGTATGACATTATTATTCGATTCTAGTGCAGTAATTCCAACTGGAACAGCCATGTTTCAAATACAGTCTGAACAGTTACACACAGGTTGTAAAATAAAACTCGTGACATGGCTGCTTTTTTTCTGTTATTGGTGTCTATTTGTCTTGCCGATTTTGTGTAATTTATTGGTTTAATTTATCCTAATTTATTTGATGTTATTTTCTTTTGTTTTTCAAACAGGGAAGGCTGTACTGCATTTCATTGAGTAGAACCCACTTAAAAGATTTTAATCCTTATCTACTGAAAATTTTAAAAAATTAGTATGCTAGAGTACTTGTTCAATTGAGAAAAATGATAAACTGGAGATCTTGGCAGCTAAATGGAACTGGACAGTTAAAAAAAAAAAGGTTGATATGTTTTGTTCCAGGACAGGGCCGAGGGTGGGCCAGAAAGCTGAAACTAGTTTGAAGCAGTTTTGTATTTTCTCTTGAGATTTTTCCCCTGTATTGCTTTGGCCCAGCCCAAAAACAACCAGTAGTCAAATTGCCTTTCGTGCCTTCACCCTCTATGAACTGAATGTATGTGCAGTATATATGCAAGCTTGTGCAAAATGAATAAAAAATTGAAATAAAAATGAAAAAGAGAGTAGAAAACGTCTGCCGTTTATGGTTTATTTGCACCATTTTCTATACACAATAAAAACATGTATTTTGTCTGTGTGTGTGTGTGTGTGTGTGATGGGTACAGGAGAAAGGTCTATAAAGATATGGTATTACCTTGGTATTTCCTATCCTGTGTACGAACTATTTTACTTACAAGTGCGTCACTGACTACAATGTATGTATTTACTGTACAGTTACTCAGAGTGAATCAGTGCAGCTCTGAGTGATTCAGCACACTAATGAGGGGTTTGGCAGCAGAGCACCGACCTCCCAGCCTAGTTTTACCCACAGACGATTGCAGATGCCGCCTCATCGGGCTAAAAGCAACAATCGCCATACCCAGGGACACACACACACAGACACAGACAGACAATGAAATCATCTCTTCAATCTACAACCCTAAAGCTGATCAAAGTTATCAACTAAGTTTGAGGAAATTAATTACATGACAGATTTTGTAAATAAAAGACGAGTTCTTAATGCTCAGATAAAAGTTAAAGGACAGTGGAACGACAAAACTCTTGGAATTTGGGTTTGTTCCACCTACAGATTAGACTAACGATTAATTTCATTATCGATTCATTTCTCAATTAATCAATTTAATCAATTAACAGCTTAAGGAGACGTATTCAGTCCAAAACCAATACCCCCCTGTTTACTATCAAATATAATCATCAAACCCTCACAATTTGAGAAGCTGGAACAAGATAGTGTTTGGCTATTTTCCTTGAAAACAGCCAAAATGATTGTCACAATAGAGGCAGATTAATTATCAGTTGATCGACTAATTGATTAATCAACTAATTGTAGCAGCTCTAGTTTAAAGTAGTAGTATAGTGCATTATAGTGAATAGTGAATTTCCCCAGTGTGGGATCAATAAAGTTTCTCTTATCTTATCTTAGCTTATCTTAAATGTTATAATGTACAAAATTAAAGATATTAAAAAAATCATCTGACGTATTTTTAAAATAAAATATCTTTTTGCTGTCATTTTTTTCGCTGATGAGTTTGGAAGTTTTTTAAGAAAATACTATTTTAAAAAGGCTCTGTGTTCTCTCTGCGTCATTTTGCTGTTTTCCTATCATGACCTCTGTTGTACTTTCCACCACGCCTGCCCGTTGCTCTGTTCCTTTTCTTCCTTTTGTTCTTGCCTGACTGCTTTTCACTCTTTTTGCTTTGATGCTCATTTTTGGAGTTGCTTCTTTTGTGTCTTTCTTGCTTGCTTGCTTTTATTCTTTTTTTTTTCTCTCTCTCTCTCTCTCTCCCGTGTTCCTTTTCCCTCTCGTCCTCCGCCTGCCTCCCTCCGCTTGCCTTAACCGGAGGCTACAGCTCCTTAGGTTGGGCTGAGACAGCATCTTTGTACAACACCGACCGTCTGCTCTGTAATCAAATACCATCTGTCGCTACATCTGAAGACTCACTCTCTCGCTTCCTCCATCACACACACACACACGCACACGCATGTAGGCACACACATGCACATGCACACACACCACATCTGTGCCTCCCACTCTTGAACAATGTGTGTGTGCTTTTTATGTACAATGACCCGTGTACTTACAATCATTCCACCTGATTCATTCTTGGCCTGCAGGGAGGAAGTCGCTGGAGTCACTTTCACCACTTCCTGTTTTTTCCAGCTCTCTCACTGAGGGTTCAAAGGTCATTGTCTTCAGGTATATCTATGTTTGTTCTGTGGCTCTGTGTGTCAGCAAGACCTTGGCTGCTGTATCAGACAGGAGATAGTGGACTTTAGTTCCTCAGTCTTAGATCAACGGCCCACTATCTCAAAGGCTGCCAGCCTTTCCCAATGTTTGCCCAATGTTTGTCCCTGCTCCGGCACAGAAAACGTTGACACGGTCCCCAAGGTCCCTCTCCAAGTCCCTCCTCCCTTCGCGGTCGCCTGTTATCACACGCTCAGGTTCAAGAACGTTTTGCATTTTGTGTTGAGCGTGATTTTTCTTTCAGCTGAAATTGTTTTCTTTGAGCTTTCCCATTACATTTAGTGTGTTTTATGGCTTGGAGGATTTACACACACACACGCCAACCCAACAACAAACAGAACATTTTTTTTGATAAATATCACCACACACATGCACTGATGTAACTCCCCATGCTGAGGAACCTTTGTGACGAAGAAAACACAAGGACTCCGGACCTCATTTCGATTTCTTCTCTGTGCGATCCTCCTACCAACGACCAAAATGAGCTGTCCACCGTTTGAACCATTTTGACACCTACACCTGCAAAATGACTGTGGGCTTGAAACTAAAACAGCACAATACAATTGAAGTTTTTCTCCATCAGAGGACTTTTGTTTACGGAGGATGGCTTTCTGTATGTATGTGTGCATCTCCTTTTATTTGCTTAACAGTGCATTTGTTTCATCATTGCGCCTAGAATTAAACTTTTCATGCAAAAATGCTTCCAGTTTCAATCAAAAACCATGACAACAGATTTCCACATTGCACAGATTGATGGATTCATTCTGCATGTGTTAGTAATTAAACACTGGATTTCATCTATTGTGGATGGAGCAACACACTGGTCTTATGCTCCAGAGCCACTGGCACAGTGTGGGTTTAACTCTGGGTTGCCCACATTTGGCATCAGTGATGGGGACACCTAGTGGTCAGTATGTGCAGCTTAAACTCTGTGTGTGCTACTATTGATGTCATCTTCATATCACCCTTGTGTGTTCTTTGCCATTTTAGTTTTGCCCAGTTATATTAATTCTTTATTCATTATCTTTTGATTAATTTGTTCTTTTTCTACCCCCTTCTTCCTCTCCATCTCAACATCACTTGTATGTGTGTGTGCATTTGTTTTGTGGAATTGGAAGATTCCAGTTGGACAGATCATTGTGCCCCCTTTTTCCTC